CATATTTTTTGATTAAAAAAAGGTAAATTCATTACAGAAACTTTCCCTTTCAGCGACGTTAGCTTAAATTCTATGTTTTTTCAAATATGGTGTTGCAGTTTTCTAAAGGGGATGTGTCTTTGACATTCATTTCAGACCATTTAATAGTTGTTACTTGAGTCACAAAATAGTTTGTGATCATAATTCTGTGGCATTTTAACCCTAATTTCAAAGAAAATGTTCATTTTTCATAAATTTCTTAAACTGTGTTACTCCGCCGTCACTATTGCTTTTACCGGCCCTTTGTTAGAGTTATACAGTAGATCGATAAAACCTGACCTTAGTGACAGGGGAAAAGCCGCGGCGCGCAAGAATTGGCATTCGGTGTTATTTTCCGGAAGCGGCTTCTCTACTGTTAAGTTGTAAACAGACCGCGAGAGGTTTGTCATCAGTGTTTCCTCTTTTCTCAGTAAGGTAAAGGTAAAGTCTGCAGACGAGAAAAGTGGCCCATCAGGCCGCAGCTTATCCCGGTTTCTCTAGCCTGAAGCGAAAGGGAGTATTACTACTCCCCCCTGGATGGGACGCTAGCCCATTGCAGGGTTACTCCCAGCATTAAATTCGCCGGCACCCCTTTATACACCAGGGTGGAGAGAGGCAATGTGACAGTAAAGTGTCTTGCCCAAGAACGTACACAACACAATGTCCCCGGCCAGGGCACGATCCGGAGACGAGCGCACTACTCCTCTCATGATTTTCGTTTCACGTTTAATTCGGCGAAGTTCTTCACCGTTTCAGAGTTACGTCACTTAAACTAACCAAAAAAGATTCTTTAACACGGAAACTTCAACAGAAATTATTCGCGGATATTAGCAGCAAATATACTAGACGTAAATTGCCTTCTATTCTCAAACTCTCAGGTTACACCTTACTCAAAAATACGCGGAAATTAAAGTCTATAACTCTCAAAAGCGCGAGAATTTTTCGGATTGCACTGAATATCAAAACTTATATCCTTGATAGATATAAATGCTCAAATCAGACAGAAATACACTTTTAGTCACAAAGCACACGTTTCTCAGTTAAGAGCACAAGTGACTTTTATTTGTTTCATTTCTTGAATTTATTGTTGTTTAATTCGCACTTATACATTTTGCAATAGCATTACTGAACTACTTTCCTACACAGTCTCACACTTTTCTGCGAAATTTAACCAAGCTTTTTTATCCTGCAATCATATTTTTCTACCAGGAGCCCTGTTTCTACAAAACAATAGCATCTTACCCAATCGATCTGGTCTGAAATTGTTGCAAAGATTTGGCAGTCTAAAGAAACAGATTTTCTTTCGCTGTTTCATGGTATAAACTATATAGTCTATAGGTCTCAATACCGCAATGTACTTTTAGAAGTTCATTCATAATGGTAATTGAACTGAGCGGAGTGCATTTTGGTCTGAAATCATACGCGTGATTTTAAAATCGAACGAGCGCGCAGCGCGAGTTCGATTTGAAATCACGTTCATTCATTCACTGTTTTGTGGAGCGTGGCGTATTTTCATTATGTTTATTCACAGCGACAGAGTTGAGCTCTTTTGTTGCTTCGTTTGAAACTACCAGAAACCTGGAA